AAGTTGAGCCTGTGACTAGGAATTGTTGTTTACAGGCCTGCCAGAAGGTAAACATTTCGAAATAATAATGTCTCTACATAGAGTGCAGATGTGTTTAGATGTCTTATAATTTTTTTTTTGGCTGTCACTTTTCAAACATTTATTCTTGAAACAGTACCAGCTTCTCATCAACACATTCCAGGAATTAAAAGTAGCTAACAGTCTGAAACATAATAAGACTTACAGACATAACTACAAGCGTGTGTTCTGTTCTCGTGTTTATTCCTAGACTTGTATACAATTGTGCAGTGAAAAACGTTTGTTTTTTGTTTGTTTGTTTGACTACCGACAAGACGGCTGGGATAGACACGAAACACAAGCGGACTTTTTCCTGTCAACCAAACCCATGGTCAGCCTTGTCACATGACCTAAGAACACATCGCTTTTCTCGCTGTTGTCTGTATTGTCATTATTTTTCTAGGGTTAATACCTTATCAAAGCAATGCTTCCATGTTGTGCATTTGAAAAAAGTGGACACAAACAATAGACTGCACAATTTATTGCCTGACATATTTCGCAGTATCTCGTCAGGTGCATGCTACAGTAACAATTACAATAAGCAGAATGGTAAATGCTCTAGAACTAAAGTACACATTCATCGACAATCAAACATGGCAGCCTCTTTGTAGAAGGACAGCCGTCAAGTCAGAACCATATCTTTCTGTATACATAGTTCCAGACGGAGGCGACAAATCGCTGAAGCTTCAAGAAATCTGAGCCTTTTGCCATTAGCTGACGTAAGAAGGATTTAAAATTGTCTTTAGTTCCATCAGAGCAGCTTTTGAAACATCGGATTGGTTCGAGGGAGTGAGGCAGGGGTGCATTCTGCTAAGGAGAAACAGAGAAAAATAAAGAACAACGAATGTGGAAGTTGTAAACAAACCCATTTTGAAACAGCAACACTCTTTAAACGACATAAATAACATCTAACATCTATGACCGAGTGACACAGACAAGAATGCAGAATGTATACAGACACAAACAACCAAGACACGACAACAGGCAAGATGATCTCGCAAATACAAATGCAGGTCTCAGTTTTACGTCAGACTTACCAAGGAGCGGGTTGAGCTAGATTTTAGCTGTCCCCCCTCCCGCCCCCTCGTCCCCCCACGCCCGCACAACACACCCACGAGTCATCCCAGGCCTTGTTAACAACAGCACTAGTCTACGTCACGCGTCTCTGTGAAATAGACGAGTGACAGTATACAGCATAAGCCTACAACACTAACTAGTCTACGTCACGCGTCTCTGTGAAATAGACGAGTGACAGTATACAGCATAAGCCTACAATACTAACTAGTCTACGTCACGCGTCTCTGTGAAATAGACGAGTGACAGTATACAGCATAAGTCTACAACACTAGCTAGTCTACGTCACGCGTCTCTGTGAAATAGACGAATGACAGTATACAGCATAAGCCTACAACACTAACTAGTACACGTCACGCGTCTCTGTCAAATAGACGAGTGACAGTATACACCATAAGCCTACAACACTAACTAGTCTACGTCACGCGTCCCTATCAAATAGACGAGTGACAGTATACAGCATAAGCCTACAACACTAACTAGTCTACTTCACGCGTCTCTGTGAAATAGACTAGTGACAGTATACACCATAAGCCTACAACACTAACTAGTCTACGTCACGCGTCTCTGTCAAATAGACGAGTGACAGTATACACCATAAGCCTACAACACTAACTAGTCTACGTCACGCGTCCCTATCAAATAGACGAGTGACAGTATACACCATAAGCCTACAACACTAACTAGTCTACGTCACGCGTCCATATCAAATAGACTAGTGACAGTATACAGCATAAGCCTACAACACTAACTAGTCTACTTCACGCGTCTCTGTGAAATAGACTAGTGACAGTATACAGCATAAGCCTACAACACTAACTAGTCTACGTCACGCGTCTCTGTGAAATAGACGAATGACAGTATACAGCATAAGCCTACAACACTAACTAGTCTACGTCACGCGTCTCTGTGAAATAGACGAATGACAGTATACAGCATAAGCCTACAACACTAACTAGTCTACGTCACGCGTCTCTGTGAAATAGACGAATGACAGTATACAGCATAAGCCTACAACACTAACTAGTCTACGTCACGCGTCTCTGTCAAATAGACGAGTGACAGTATACAGCATAAGCCTACAACACTAACTAGCCTACGTCACGCGTCTCTGTCAAATAGACGAGTGACAGTATACAGCATAAGCCTACAACACTAACTAGTCTACGTCACGCGTCTCTGTCAAATAGACTAGTGACAGTATACAGCAAAATCCTACAACACTAACTAGTCTACGTCACGCGTCCCTATCAAATAGACGAGTGACAGTATACAGCATAAGCCTACAACACTAACTAGTCTACGTCACGCGTCTCTGTGAAATAGACGAATGACAGTATACAGCATAAGCCTACAACACTAACTAGTCTACGTCACGCGTCTCTGTCAAATAGACGAGTGACAGTATACAGCATAAGCCTACAACACTAACTAGTCTACGTCACGCGTCCCTATCAAATAGACGAGTGACAGTTTACACCATAAGTCTACAACACTAGCTAGTCTACGTCACGCGTCTCTGTCAAATAGACTAGTGACAGTATACAGCAAAATCCTACAACACTAACTAGTACACGTCACGCGTCTCTGTCAAATAGACGAGTGACAGTATACACCATAAGCCTACAACACTAACTAGTCTACGTCACGCGTCCCTATCAAATAGACGAGTGACAGTATACACCATAAGCCTACAACACTAACTAGTCTACGTCACGTTTCTATATCAAATAGACTAGTGACAGTATACAGCATAAGCCTACAACACTAACTAGTACTTCACATAGACTAGTGACAGTATACACCATAAGCCTACAACACTAACTAGTCTACGTCACGCGTCTCTGTCAAATAGACGAGTGACAGTATACACCATAAGCCTACAACACTAACTAGTCTACGTCACGCGTCTCTGTCAAATAGAGGAGTGACAGTATACACCATAAGCCTACAACACTAACTAGTCTACGTCACGCGTCCCTATCAAATAGACTAGTGACAGTATACACCATAAGCCTACAACACTAACTAGTCTACGTCACGCGTCGTAGACGACAGTATACAGCATAAGCCTACAACACTAACTAGTCTCACGCGTCTCTGAAATAGACGAATGACAGTATACAGCATAAGCCTACAACACTAACTAGTCTACGTCACGCGTCTCTGTGAAATAGACGAATGACAGTATACAGCATAAGCCTACAACACTAAGTCTACGTCCGCGTCTCTGTCAAATAGACGAGTGACAGTATACACCATAAGCCTACAACACTACTAGTCTACGTCACGCGTCTCTGTGAAATAGACGAGTGACAGTATACAGTAAGCCTACAACACTAACTAGTCTAGTCTACGTCACGCGTCTCTATCAAATAGACGAGTGACAGTATACAGCATAAGCCTACAACACTAACTAGTCTACGTCACGCGTCTCTATCAAATAGACGAGTGACAGTATACAGCATAAGCCTACAACACTAACTAGTCTACGTCACGCGTCCCTATCAAATAGACGAGTGACAGTATACACCATAAGCCTACAACACTAACTAGTCTACGTCACGCGTCTCTGTGAAATAGACGAATGACAGTATACAGCATAAGCCTACAACACTAACTAGTCTACGTACGTCACGCGTCTCTGTGAAATAGACGAGTGACAGTATACAACAGCATAAGCCTAAGTCTACACGCGTCTCTGTCAAATAGACGAGTGACAGTATACAGCATAAGCCTACAACACTAACTAGTCTACGTCACGCGTCTCTGTCAAATAGACGAGTGACAGTATACAGCATAAATCCTACAACACTAACTAGTCTACGTCACGCGTCTCTGTCAAATAGACGAGTGACAGTATACAGAATAAGCCTACAACACTAACTAGTCTACGTCACGCGTCCCTGTCAAATAGACGAGTGACAGTATACAACACAACACTAACTAGTCTACGTCACGCGTCTCTGTGAAATAGACGAATGACAGTATACAGCATAAGCCTACAACACTAACTAGTCTACGTCACGCGTCTCTGTGAAATAGACGAATGACAGTATACATAAGCCTACAACACTAAGCTACTACAAAATAGACGACAGTACACTAAGTCTACTAGTCTACGCACGCGTCTCTGTGAAATAGACGAATGACAGTATACAGCATAAGCCTACAACACTAACTAGTCTACGTCACGCGTCTCTGTGAAATAGACGAGTGACAGTATACACCATAAGCCTACAACACTAACTAGTCTACGTCACGCGTCTCTGTGAAATAGACGAATGACAGTATACACCATAAGCCTACAACACTAACTAGTCTACGTCACGCGTCTCTGTGAAATAGACGAGTGACAGTATACAGCATAAGCCTACAACACTAACTAGTCTACGTCACGCGTCTCTGTGAAATAGACGAGTGACAGTATACAGCATAAGCCTACAACACTAACTAGTCTACGTCACGCGTCTCTGTGAAATAGACGAATGACAGTATACAGCATAAGCCTACAACACTAACTAGTCTACGTCACGCGTCTCTGTGAAATAGACGAATGACAGTATACAGCATAAGCCTACAACACTAACTAGTCTACGTCACGCGTCTCTGTGAAATAGACGAATGACAGTATACACCATAAGCCTACAACACTAACTAGTCTACGTCACGCGTCTCTGTGAAATAGACGAATGACAGTATACAGCATAAGCCTACAACACTAACTAGTCTACGTCACGCGTCTCTGTGAAATAGACGAATGACAGTATACAACAAAAGCATTACATCTGATCCTTGATAAGTTTTTGTGCCATGTGGTTATGGTCTGTGTGGGCACTTTCTGTTGAAAGAAATAATCTTCTGTACAGACGATCTTCTTATGAGAGAAGCTGTTTCATGAGAATAGTAATAATCCCCGCAGGACTGACCATTCGGGATCTAGCCATGTCGGAAACAGAGCCAACTTCCGGCCCAGAGTGGCCGGCCCATTGGAAGCCGGTGGTTCTGACCAGATTCCGGCCAATCAGACCGGAGGACAGCTCGCAGGTTCGCTTCCGTGTTTTGTTGTGTGGAGATGTTACCACGCCTCCAACATATTGTAATAAATGTCGACATGGCCACTAGTTTGTAAGTCCCAAATTTGGTGTTTCGGTGAACTGTTCATGAAACGCTATTGTTGACAGCTTTCTCATCCTCATCCTCATCATCATTTTAATTATCATCATAACCACCATCATCGTCATAATCAACATTGTCTTCGTCGTCGTGTCTTCGAATCCTTGTTGTCATCATTATCAGTATCAGGTTAGTTCAAATATTTGCGGCTAAGTCGAACACCGCAATGATTTCCCAGCTGCCATCTTTGTCCTCAAGGGGTTGATCTGTAGGAATCGCTGGCTGACCTAAACTCCATATTTCGTATGTCTTTATCGTCTGCCGTTTATGCTGTTACAAAGCATTAGCCCTCAACCAAGTCATCACAGAATAGAATACTATCGTCTAGATTGATCACTGTACAAGTGTTACCAACAATGCTCAGGTGTGGAAAAACCTTCAGGTGTGGAAATACCTCTTTCATGGCTAAAGTTCTGGTATATGCGCAGTCTCTGGGCTCAATGTTTCTTTCCTCCAAAAGAGACCGCTAATTTCCTATCCCGTTGTCAACAGTGTTCCTCTTGCCCTTTTATTTCTGTTTCCTCCTTGCTTTCAGTTCAATCTGATTTAGCCAGGCGTATTTCGTAAGAGATCGAGCTTCTAAACATAATCTCTTTTGGACCACCATTTCTAGTTTTGCCAAAAAAAGTACTAAAAATATTTTTTGGGGTTTGGATAAATCCAAATTATGAAATATTTCCGAGTGTGACCATAGCGGTCTTATAGTTGTCATCCTTCAATAAGAACAGGTTAATCATGTCATGAAGATGTGGCAAATAAGTCAATCCTTTAAAGCTAAAGTACAGATTCAACCGCTCTCAAAGGCAACTGTTTGTTTCACCAGCGCAGTGTCAGAACCATGTCCTTCTGTTGACAAAGATGGTGTCGGCTTCCAGAAATCTGATTGTTCTGTCATTGGACGATACACGAATAATGTTTCCCTTTTACAGCGGAGTTTGTGTCTTCTTTGTTGAAATCTCCAGCAGCAACAACTCTCATGAAAACACTGATTTGACGTTGGAAGCTGGACTGCATTTAGATGTGAACTGTGGTAACAACTTGGGTATCTACACTAACTGAGACAGACTTCAGGAACAAAAAGCTAATATATGCAGAACAATAGAATCAGTTGTGTCAGAGCTGTTGGATCATGTCGGGAAAAGAAGGTAACAGGAATCAAAACGACAACTGCAAATATCAACGATAGTCAAGTCAGAATCGTAGCCAGGGGTATTCTAACAGATTGCCTAAGAGAGTGGTTTTGATTTATCATGAAAAGAACTTAGCAGTGGCTGGCCGAATGGGTAGAACGCTGAAATCTCATGCGAAAGACCAGGGTTAAATTCTCTTTGAGTGATTGAGATCGTTTGTTGTTGGTCGTAGGCAGAATACAATTCCAAACTTGCACAATTCTCAGTGACTGCACTAGCTATGCGGCCTTGATTTCTCATTCTTACCACTGATCCCCTCTCCGTCCTATAAAGCCAAATGGTAAATACAAGACGCCGAGACAGAGAAGTGACCTAGATGACGCAACTGAGCAAGCAACACGGTGACGATGAGTACTCTGTCTTACATACTGCACTTCTTGATCTTTGGTTGTGGGTGAATCCAAGTAAAGCTTCCTTTGTTACCACACAGACGTGCTTATATAGAACTGACAAAGATTCCGTCCACAGTCACGATTAAAAATCTACCAAATTTCAACAATGAGCCAGGTAAAGAACTTTTCAGAGACGGCTGCTATGTGCTAGAGACATTTAGATAGGAACCGGTGTGGTGGAGCACCTAGACACTGGCCTGCGGATCGGAGGTTCGTGGCTTCAGACCTGAATGAGCCAGGCTTTACAAAAAAAAAAAGACCTTGGTTCCAGCTTTAAGTGAGTACCAGATGCAGTCCTGGGAATAGCAGCCGGCGTGATGCTGAGCACATCACCCATTAAATGCCGACTGGCCTGTAAAATATACATCTAGCCCTATATACCCATCACGTGCGAGGCATGTAAAAGGGTCCATCACACACTGAGCTATTATAGGATATCAGGACAGATTGATACGTGAAAGGCAGAGAAAGCCAGTTTGAGAGGTTTGGAGACGATCTTCTATCACAGCATGATGATGATGATGATGATGATGATGAGTATTATTTGCATCAAACTGAGGCTTGTTTGCTTCTCCAGAGGAACGCTCCAGAAGTTGGAGTCAACAACAACAATGGCAGCAGCAACAATCCAGACCTCTTTTCAAATACAGCTGTTCCAAACAGGCAACCGCAAGGGGACGATCAGCCGGCCTACCTCAGAGATATAGACTTAGACCAGGTGAAGTATACAATATCTTTATGATGAACTAGCAAACTGATGAAGAAATATGTTTGTCGCTATCGTGTCAAGATTAAATATTGACAATGTCTACAATTATGACTAAACTAAAAAAGAGACAAATTGTCCGTGGACAATCAAATACTGACAGTTTTTAACGACGTGCCTGTGTTAAGTGAATAAAATGTGAACGTCACAAGTTTTGGTTCTGGTTCTCCTTCCCCTCGCCCGTCACCACCTCCCGCTCTTGTGTTCGTGTGCCTTCCATTCTCAAATAAAGCACAGAGCCCCAAACGAATGCTGGTACAATCGTTCCTAAAGTGCTCCATATACAGTGCCATTTTACAGCTAATTAATTTTACTCAATAAGTGGGCTAGTTAGTGGCCGGCTGAACAGTTAGACCACTAATCTCTAGTGCGGGAGACCCGGGTTCGAATCCTCGCTAAATCTTGACATTTTTTTTTTTTTTGTCAGAGCAAAATTAAATGCTCACTTTCACAGTCGTGCCGACAGCACTGGACATTGGGCCTTAAATCATCAGGCTCGAAGACCCCTCAGCCAACACCGCAAAAATGGTAAATAGAGGCCGTTTTTAGCAATTTTTTTCGGCAGCTGGCTAGTCCTGCCACAAATCTGGTGTGGCTTTTATTACGACAGACACAAATGAAATGGCTACTGACCACTGCACGTAGTGTGCGTCTCAGATGATCTGTAGACTCCTGTGTTCAAGTGAAGTCGCAGACTTTTGTTTCTTCACTCCTGGTAATTACCAGGCTAATGGTTAACTAAATAGACTACCAGACTTGTAGTTGACTGAATAGACTACTAGGCTAGTAGTTGACTGAAAAGACTACCAGGCTTGTAGTTGACTAAATAAAATACCAGGTTTGGAGTTGACTGAAAAGACTACCAGACTTGTAGTTGACTGAAAAGACTATCAGGCTTGTAGTTGACTAAATAAAATACCAGGTTTGGAGTTGACTGAATAGACTACCAGGCTAGTAGTTGACTGAATAGACTACCAGACTTGTAGTTGACTGAATATACTACCAGACTAGTCGTTGACTGAATAGACTACCAGGCTAGTAGTTGACTGAATATACTACCAGACTAGTAGTTGACTGAATAGACTACCAGACTAGTAGTTGACTGAATATACTACCAGACAAGTAGTTGACTGAATAGACTACCAGACTTGTAGTTGACTGAATATACTACCAGACTAGTAGTTGACTGAATATACTACCAGGCTAGTAGTTGACTGAATAGACTACCAGACTAGAAGTTGACTGAATAGACTACAAGACTTGTAGTTGACTGAATATACTACCAGGGTAGTAGTTGACTGAAAATACTACCAGACTAGTAGTTGACTAAATAGACTACCAGGCTAGTAGTTGACTGAATATACTACCAGGCTAGTAGTTGACTGAATAGACTACCAGGCTAGTAGTTGACTGAATAGACTACCACACATGTAGTTGACTGAATATACTACCAGACTAATAGTTGACTGAATAGACTACCAGGCTAGTAGTTGACTGAATAGACTACCAGGCTTGTAGTTGACTGAATAGACTACCAGACTAGTAGTTGACTGAATAGACTACCAGACTTGTAGTTGACTGAATAGACTACCAGGCTAGTAGTTGACTGAATATACTACCAGGCTAGTAGTCCTGGGTTGACTGTAGACAATACCAGGGCTAGTAGTTGACTGAATAGACTACAGGTTATAGTGACTGAAATATACTACCAGGCTAGTAGTTGACTGAATAGACTACCAGGCTAGTAGTTGACTGAATAGACTACCAGGCTAGTAGTTGACTGAATAGAATACCAGACTTGCAGTTGACTAAATTGACTACCAGGCTAGTAGTTGACTAAATATACTACCAGGCTAGTAGTTGACTGAATAGACTACCAGGCTTGTAGTTGACTGAATAGACTACCAGGCTTGTAGTTGACTGAATAGACTACCAGGCTTGTAGTTGACTGAATAGACTACCAGGCTAGTAGTTGACTGAATAGACTACCAGACTTGTAGTTGACTGAATAGACTACCAGGCTAGTAGTTGACTAAATAGACTACCAGGCTAGTAGTTGACTGAATAGACTACCAGGCTAGTAGTTGACTAAATAGACTACCAGGCTAGTTGTTGACAGAATAGACTACCAGGCTAGTAGTTGACTGAACAGACTACCAGACTTGTAGTTGACTGAATATACTACCAGGCTATTAGTTTACTGAATATACTACCAGGCTAGTAGTTGACTGAATAGACTACCAGACTTGTAGTTGACTGAATAGACTACCAGGCTAGTAGTTGACTGAATAGACTACCAGGCTAGTAGTTGACTGAATAGACTACCAGGCTAGTAGTTGACTGAATAGACTACCAGGCTAGTAGTTGACTGAATAGACTACAAGGCTTGTAGTTGACTGAATATACTACCAGGCTAGTTGTTGACTGAATAGACTACCAGGCTAGTAGTTGACTGAACAGACTACCAGACTTGTAGTTGACTGAATATACTACCAGGCTATTAGTTTACTGAATAGACTACCA